ACACACACTCTCTCTCTCTCTCTCACACACACACACACACACACACACACACAGCGAGTTGAGAAAACAGAAGAACATTATTCCAGCACCAGTGGCAGAGCTGTATCTCTTGTTTTGCATCACATCCAACAAAAGACTGAAGTATTATTGTCAGAACAGCTTATATAATCCAGCACATCACTGTACATCACACACCTGCACATCAAAACACATCTGGTGCCTCCTTAACAGATGTTTCTTTCTGTCTACAAAGGTTTCTCACAATCCTTAAAGAGATTTGGCCTGCTTTCTGTACAATTAGTACAATTGGTTTGAACTGCTCAACAAAGTAGAGATAAACATGCATGATGAGACAAAGCCACATACGACCCTTTCCACACCACACTGAGTCGTTTGTATGATCCTCTTGCTGTTAATTGCATCACAGACTGCGGGAGGTAATTGTGTTTGTCTGGCAGTAATTGGCTGGCTGCTGCAATGTAGTGGGAACAGATCTTCTATCGCTCTTTGTATACAGCAGCGGATCTTGTTCCAAAACATGGCTTAGAGAGAATCATCAGTTAGATCTGACAGAATGGTCTGATTCAGAGTTTAGCTGTGAAACGGCTCCCCTGCGGTGCCGAAATGTGTGTGCCTGGCGGTACGTCTACTTATATTGTCATGCAAATGCAGCAGGGTGCGCTCCACAAACTTGCAAGTGTCCGTCTCTGGAAAAGGCTCCACTACATAGCAGACACTGGTACCTGATGGAGACTATTTACATTCTTAAAGTGATAGTTCACCCAAAAATGAAAATTCTGTCATTCTATCATTTACTCAACCTCATGTTGTTGCAAACCTGTATGAAGTTCTTTCTTCTGCTGAACACAAAAGCAGATGTTTTGAAGAATGTGGGTAACCAAAGAGCTGCTGGTTCCCACTGACTTCCACAGTGTGGAAAAAAATTATATGAAAATCAATGGGGACCAGAAACTGTTAGACAAAACTCATACAGGTTTGGAACAACTTGAGGGTGAGTAAATGGTGACAATTTTCATTTTTGGGTAAAAAACTATCCCTTTACTCTACTTTACTGGTAATATTGCAAACAATTCATCAGTGCACATTATTTGGAGGAAAACAAAATATGTATGCTTAATAAAAATTGTTCTGCATCTGAAATTCTGACTTTTCTACCCCACTAACCACCTGACTCCATTCTGGCTTATAATGCCCACTTTTTATGCCCATGATCAATAAAATCAGGTGCTACCTTAAATTTTTTATTCAATGAATATCTTGTTTCACTTTGAAATTCAAGACATTACAGAATAAAATGTGTTGCAAACAGTTTTCAGTGTTCTGTCATTGATAAAATGTGACCTTTGAACATAAAAGCACCACTTTAATTTCTGCAAGGACAAAAAAAAAAAGGTCAAATATGTACTACATAAACACATACATAAAGACACATACAAATTAAACATTAACAATATAAAATTAAATTAAGCATTAAATATTCACTGGGTTGTGAAGTCAGATTAGTGCAGTTAAATCTTAAAAAAAAAAAACAAACAAAACTTTTAGATTAAATAGTCCATACATATTTTCTACTATATTGTTTTCTGTATAATCAAATACAGAGTCGGCTGAAACATTATTTGGATTCTTTTCCAAAAAAAATCCACTTTAAACAGCAAGCAAGCAAGCAAGCAAACAACAAACAAACAAGCAAGCAAGCAAGCAAGCAAGCAAGCAAGCAAGCAAGCAAGCAAGCAAGCAAGCAAGCAAGCAAGCAAGCAAGCAAGCAAGCAAGCAAGCAAACAAACAAACAAACAAACAAACAAGCAAGCAAACAAACAAAATAAATAAATAAAACAGTGTTTGATCACATTATATGTCAGTCAGACTGCCTTAAAGGGTAGTTCAAGCTAAACTGTGAACCAGACTTTGTCATTTAGTCAAATGTGAGACTAAATTCTGGATGACCTACAGATATAATGCTTATTCATGCCATATTATGTTATTATTGTAGCTGGAGATGGAAAACAATCTGAGCAATTCTACCAGATCAGCACATTTTCAACTACAACCCACTGAGTCGCGTACCAGAGCACTTCTGAATTCACACGGCCTTCTCTCGTTTTCAGATTCCACATTCTAATTAAATGGCAGAGCCAATTTAGTCAGTGACCTCCTATAGAACACTATTAACATCAGCCACTAAAAAAACACCACATCAATACTAATCTACCCACTGTTAGCAATAATTCAATAACGCCAGACTACCGCTCGAGTCTGAAAACTGACGATGATATGAAGTGTGTGCATGTTTCCTGCTTGGACAGTAAATATCTCGGTGAAGAGAGGAGAATAAACGACAAAACTTGAGCTGTAGAGGTTACCGCAGCCACAGCGAGACAGATCGAGTAATCTTTGGTTATCTGCTGACGAGGGCCTGCTATTTAGCATCATTACTTTTCATCATCATCTCATTCTCTTCCAGCGCTAATGACCTCCATGACTGCGGCTGACAGATTGAGCGTCCACTGATAAGAAGGGGAGATGGGGTGAGAAAAATCGAAGAGTCTTTCTGTGGTTGTGTGAAAAGTTCACAATCGCAGTTTGAAATGTTTCCATTTTCCGTAAATTTATAATACATAATTTGTAATAAAATGTAACTTGTTACAATAATATAACAAAATATATAAAAATAACAGCACTAACTAAAAAGTTACTTTCTGTTTTAGACATTTATGTTATACAATTTATAAAAATGTCTAATATAATTTAGTTTTTAGAATTTTGGTATTTTACAAAATAAAAAAAATTCAAATTCAAATAAAATATTACATAAAATGATATATTATATGTGTGTTTGTGTGCGTCTGTGTGTTAGAGAGAGAGAGAGTGTGTGTGTGTGTGTGTGGCTGGAATTCACATGAAAGGATTCGGGCAAGAGAAGGGAACAGGAGTGGGCGGGGGACGAGTCATTGATATGTACAGTGTGACTCAGTTAAACATACCAAACTGCCGGGGTATTTCAGGAGCATTTAATACGTTTTAATTAGAACTAATATTTAGAGCGAGAGGACAAATTAAAAGGACAATCGGCATGTTTGACTTTGACGGGTGGTTTTGGGCCTTATGGTTCACTCACGGCTGTACCTACTTCATTGCAATGGTGTGTATGTATTTGTTCAGGTTCTTTGTGTACCCTTTTTCTGAGGCGTGTTTAATTTTTGATAAAACAAAGCCATAAATGTTTTCTCTCAAGCCACTGCATGGGTCACTATGGATGGTAAATATTTCATAGCTCTGCTGAAGCTAGTTCCGTTACGGACGCTGGTTTTATAGGCAAAGTTGCATTTCTTGAATCCAGGTCTAGGTTTATTTTGAGCATCAGATGATGATGGCATATGGTATTCAGTTCATTAACAGCTTTTGCTGTATTAGGCCTAATTGATTCAGACCTGCTTGATGAATATTTCGAGTGCCTGGAGTCTTTGAAGTATGTGCCCTAAACCTTTCACAGCACCCTGTCGAGAGTATCATCAAAATAAACTATGAGCCACAGGCGCAGGCGTGTTTAGAATTTCAAGCGTGGATTTATGAAGCTGCATTCCTAAATAAAAGTGCTTTTTTTAACTTTAAAGGAATAGTTTATTTAACTAAATGCTTTCTTTCTTCCGCTGTACACACAAGGAGATGTTTAGGAGAATGTTGCAGGGCTTTATTAAATTAATTCAAGCCGTCAATAAAGCACCATAAAAGTAGTCGATAAGACTCTTTCATTATATGTACTCCTGCAAACAGTCTTCTGATATTTTTATGCACTGAAAATTTCCTCTTGCAATGTAACTGTTAGATCTTGTTCATGCACTTATCAACTGATGAAAGAATTCAATTCTTGAGTGAACTTTTCCTGTCACTGTGTCCTGTCTCTCAGTAACATGTAATTTAAACCATGCATTACACTTCGTTCTGTAAAATAAATATAGTGAACTACGCAAAAAAAGCATTTTTAAGTCTCAAGCATGTTTTATAATACCCAAAAATCAAACATAATTAAAGGGATAGTTCACCCAAAAATGAAAATTCTGTCATTAATTACTCACCCTCATGCATCGTGGTACTCTTGTGAATGTGCATAGTTATTTTAGTTTTCTTTGCGCACAAAAAGTATTCTCGTAGCTTCGTAACATTATGGTTGAACCACTGATTTCACATGGACTATTTTAACAATGTCCTTACTACCTTTCTGGGCCTTGAACGAGGCAGTTACGTTGCTGTCTATACAGGGTCAGAAAGCTCTCGGATTTCATCAAAAATATCTTAATTTGTGTTCCGAAGATGAGCGAAGGTCTTACTGGTTTGGAACGACATGAGGGTGAGGAATTAATGACATAATTTTCATTTTTGGGTGAACTATCCCTTTAGCTCCTCACATACGTTATCATGCCCATCAAAAAACTTTTCTTTTGGAACATTAGAAGTAGAAACATCGATTTAACACACTCATGGGCATCAGTCATTTCACTGAATTCTTGCTGGGCAAAGAAATAAATAACTATTACTTTACCATCTGGTTTACTTTATCTGTTTTACTTTTTACGACCTTGTTGACATCAAGGTCAAGAAAATGACCAGGTCTGACCCTCTCAAAGTGTGTAGTTACTGTGTATAGTTGAAACATATAATCTATCAATATATGTTTAATCCACAGGAAGTTGCATGGTGGAGTGAAGACCTTTGGCTGTGAGTTCTGCGGAAAGCAGTTCCTGGACAGTTTACGACTGAGGATGCACATGCTGTCTCATTCAGGTAAACCCTCCCATAAATACCATGATCACGCACAAATGTTGTCCCGATAAGGAAGAAAGCATAGATTACAGTGTTATTGCACAAGTGATACGTGATCGCTGTTGTGCAACAAGTGTCAGCCCCCTGTTGCCCTGTGTTTGTCCACCATGTACCGCACGCTTAACCTGCTGTAACAGATGGAACATTGCACTTCTATTAGTGACGCAGTGTTTGGTTATCCCCGACTTCCCACTTCCCTTTCCAGTCTCATATGTGTCTCAACTGTTACATTTCAAGCCTGGCAGAGATCCAGTCTGGGCACTTTGCCACATTATTAGTACAGTAGATACAGTGAATCTTGCCAGCTTGTTGTTTTTTTTCTCATCGTAATGAGGAGGTGTAGGACAGAAACCCGCTTAAGGGAGGGGATGGATCCAGTTGTTTATACACATCCAAACCCGTAATTAAACGATCATGCTGAAATGATGCTGTTACATGTTATGTAAGCATGTGGTATTGTTTTGTGCCGATGTGTGCTATTAACTTCGAACTTTTGCCATCAGATTTTGGTTATCAAAAAGGTCTGTTGCATAACCGTAGACATAAAATAAACCAGACGCAGACTGCAAAATGAAGTTTAGTGCTGAGACTTTGTGTTTTGGGCTTATGCTGTCCAGCTGTCATCCTGTTTTTTTATTTTTTATTATTGTAGCTCCTTGTTAAGATCTTTCCCTTTAAGCCTTTGCTTTACAGAGTGTGCTATGTGGTCGACCGTCAAGGGTTTTTCATAAAAATATCACTAGTGAAAATTCTGCTATTTAATACAATTTGCTTTTAATTACACCTTTAATTAAAACATTTGTTTTAAATTACAAATTATATTACCATTTGATTTTTTTTCCTCTCTCTTCTCTCTTCATCACTCTTCTTCATATTTATATGTTTAGATGCAGATTTAATAGATATTTATACACACAACACAACTGCACCCCCATGCTTCACATAATCACACGTGAAACCAATTTTTGTTGTTGTTGTTCTTCTTCTTCTTTCTGTTTTATGGTGTTGTCCATCTATATCTTGTATGTCCTGTCCTATGTAAAAATTTAATTTATTAAAAAAAAAACAATGATATTATCACAGTGTTTCTGTGGGTCTTAAAAAGTCTTAATTCACCTTTTTACAAATTAAGGCCCTAAAAGGAAATGAAAATACTGAGGAAGAACATCACTTTATTGCAGTGATTAGAAGGTACAGTGAATGTTATTTATTTATTTATTTATTTATTGTATTGTAAAATGAATGGAAATCTGTTGGAAGTTGCATTATCTAACTTTGAAGCGTTGCTAATGCAAATATATATATCAGTCCATCACTATTGGTTTGAATTTTAAAATATTAGGAAGTGTTTTTGGCACTTTTATGATAACAGAGAAGGGACATTATTTATGAAAAATGGAGAAATTACATTGCAACATGTCGCAGGCAGGATTCAAAACTACTTTTTCAGATCAAGGCTCTGGCTTCAGTATCAGGGATGCTACAATGTGATTGATGCTTATTGAACTCAGTAGTTGCCCACACTAAATTGTGCTTTAGAGGGGAATGTCCTATTTCAAGTGGAGGGGAAATACACTTAGACTGGCAGCAGGAAGTGTGTGTGTGTGTGTGTGTGAGAGAGCATGTGTCCATCTGTCTGATTAAGTCTATAGTCGTCTCTCTGAAGGGTTTGTGAAGCCCACCTCACTTGACTTTATCAGCACACGTTTGTGTCAAGATTCTGACAGCTCTCTTCACCAAATGAACTGAAAATTCCTCTTTCTTTTATCTCTTGTTCTCTGTCTGCTTCTGTTTTGTGTGTTTATAAAGGCGAGAGGAAGAGATTTATTATTTTGTCCCTAAATCCAACCCTCCTAATCTGCTATAAATCAATATCATAAACACTGGCAACAATATTCAGTTACTCCCACATTTAATCTGCTCGTAATTCGCCGTCGTACTTGTTCACGGACGACATGAAGCAGAAATGAGAGTGAATCTTCAATCATGTGCGGCATTCGGGCTGAAAAGCCTTGTCAAGATGTTTTTTCTTAATGTCTCTTTCTCTTTTTTCTGTCTTTCTCTCTCTCTGTCTGGGAGAAGCCCTGTGCTCGGAGCTTGGCGACACGCCAGCTCTTCCCTTGCACTGATGACATCATCAGCTGCCGGCAGGTCTGGATGTTCTGCCAGCATTCTGGAGCATTTATGATTGCTCGCAGATGTGTGTCCAGGAACATACTGTACCCAAATCCCAAAATTAATCAAACTTGACTGCTCTCCAAGCCACTGCTCTCCAAAATAGCGTGAGCGCTGGGGTGGAGGGAGGACACTGGCGGAGTCCTAAATAAAAAAAAATGCAGAAAGAAAACAGAAATGTTGACTGTAGGGCTAGGGCTGTGCAAAAAATCTAATGCGATTTTCATGCGCATCTGGTCAGTAAAGGCGCTCCTGTGATTAGTAGTAAATCTCCAGCACGTGCATTCAGAGTGCATTGGAGAGGATGGAGCAGATGTCTGCACCGTGGTCGAAGTGTTAAAAGGTTATGTCCGAGGGCATGTCCTACAGTACATGTGCCGCCTTGACAGGTTCTGACGCTTTCCATTAATACAGTATACTGAGCTGTAGCTTAGTGTATCCTAAATATGTTTGATAAACATGAAAAATAACCTAACATAGAAAGTAAAGATTGTATCCTCCCTCTTAAAATGTGGATTTTGGCCTGTCAGATGTCTTGACTTCTTCAACTGTATCCAAACCTTCAAATATGCAAAAATATTTTCATTTTAATTTATATTAAAATAAAAATATTTTTTAAATTATTTATTTTTATTTAATTATTATTTAGTTTATAGTGTATTTATATTTGTATATACTGTTACTATTATTATTTATTATTATATTTATTATTATTTATTATATGCTAATTTTACTCATTGTAATGGTCCTTAAAATTGTGACACCTTGGTAAACGGACTTTAAATTTGACCAAATTTAGGGCTAAATTTTCAACCCAGTTACTGACAGGCTTTTGAAAAATTTTATCTGTTTATCTATATATTTATACATTTTTATGTATTTTAAGTATATTTTATGTAAATAAATTTTTTTCTTTTTTTAATTTATTTTTTTTATGTTTATTGCTGGAAAATTTGGTCCCAGATTTTGGTAACAGGGTTGAAAAAATTGCAAACCTCACAGAACAATGAAAGTTGTTAATAATACTTTTTAACCTTCTTAGGTTGACAAATTTATTATTATTATTATTATTTTACCACAGTTAGGAAGCTCATATCTGACCATTTACTGAAAAAGTATATATATATATATTTACAAAACATATTTTTCTTAAATATATACATGCATGTGTGTGTATATACATAATAAATATACATAGTACATATATTAAGTAAACCAAAATTTTTATTTTGGATGCGATTAATCGTTTGATAGCACTATATGTATATGTATATTTTAATCATGACAACTCTCGGAAGATATTAGCATGGTGATGGATATGACACAGTCTGTAGCCATTTGACTTTAAACTAACTCAACTGTGATCAGCTGTGGTCATTTTGAGCATGAAAAGAGCTTTCCTGGAGCATTTCAGTCCTTGGTAGTGCAACTGAAGCAAACAATCAACAATGGACACCCATCAAAAGATATCCGGGGTAAAGTTGTGGACAGGCACAAGTCAGCAGATGGATACAAAAAAATTCAAAGGTTTTATCAATGCCTAGAAGCACAGTGAAGTCTATTATTAAGAAGTGGAAGGTATTTGGTACAACACAGACCCTCCCTGGATCAGGACGTCGCTCCAAACTGGATGAAAGAGCCAGGAGGAAACTGGTCAGAGAGGTGACCAAGAGTCTTACAGCAACTCTGGAGCAGTTGCAGGAATTTATGACAAAGAGTGGTCATTGTGTGCATGTGACAACAATATCACAAATTCTCCACAAATGTGGCGTGTATGGGAGGGTTGTAAAAAAAAGCCACTCCTCAAGAAAGGCCACATGCAGCCAGGAGTCAGGACACAGCAAAACTGAGCATACAGTGGTTGAAGTAATGCAAAGCAATTTTAAATGGGGGGGTGATTTTTTTCTCTGGCCCGACCCTCTGTCAGGTGGATTTAAACACTCCTACATCACAGACCTACGGATGTCAGCATGCTAATAAATTACCTTTCTTTGTACTTTGTCACAGAGACTGACAGAAGGCTGTTTTTAATGGGCATTAAACCACTGGGTTTATTTATAGAGCTGCTTTAATATTATGACCTTTGTGCCTCCATTTTTAGTGATGTTTTTCATTGTGACCTATTATTCAACAGACTCTTGCAAATTACAAGATAAATAATGTTATTTCAGTGTTGATGTCCAAACATTTACAATTTATGATTGTTCACTTGAGTCTTTAATTTGCAAATGGGGAAGGGGAAAATAAAAATAAAAATCTAATTCAGTCTTTATAGCGCATAAAAGCCCTAGATCTTCTGGCCCGTCATTGGATTTTGCTGCTTTACATCCCAACGGTTGCCAAGTAGCAGAAGCCCTTGTTTTCTAATGCTCTAATTTGGTGTTCAGCACGAGATTTAATCTTATTTTTGTATGCCAGACAAAGTGTTTTGGTGGAGGGTGATTGCAGCCAGTCTGGAGGCTGTTTGGGCTGTTTTTCATGGGCAGTACAGTGCACAATGTGCCATCTGAAACAGAACACAAGCCTATTGAATGTGGGATCTGCTTTGTGGTTTCTAAATGTGTGGCGAGCTTTTGGAAACGTGTGCGAGGAGACGTATGAGAGAATCCTGTCTCACCGTGAATGGCTGCGTCAAAACAGGACAAATTAGATATGCTGAAATGACACGTGATTCACAGAAATGCTGTCTAGGTAGGTAGCTCACTAGATTTTGAGACACAACCATCGAGGTTTCAAAGCAAGACTTGAACTGTAGCTACTATCTTTTGCTAATAAGACAAAAATAA